AAAGCGATTGCTTCAATACATATTTACCAAAGCAAGCCTATTTTAAAGTTGCAAGAACATAGAGTGATGCTCTCTTTCAGAACTTCTAACTAAAAATTCCATTTTTTCATTATACTGTGTTAAAAAACCTCAGCACCACACATAAGTAGATGTACTAACTAATGCAAAGACTGCTAGAATGGTGTCCATGTTCCAGCTTATATTTTCTCTCCCAAGTTTGATCAATATCATCCTAGAGAGATGCAGCTGACAAAATAACAAGATAACAGGTCAGATGTAAACTGAACTGCAGAACAGGTATGGAAGTAAAGTAAGTGAAACAGGAGGTGAAATCACATGCAAAAAAAAAAAGATTTAAAGCTTTTTACCTCAGAAGAGGTCTATGAATTCTTAGTCCATATAATTATGTTGGCTTAGTTAAAATATTTGCAACTGGCCACAAAAAAATCCATAATGTACTAACAAAGGCAAATTCGCATACAGATCCTCAATTTTCCTTGACAAAATTCACTTCAGGAGGCATGAAAGTCTGTCTTGGAATTCTCTTGGGAAGCAGATTTTCACAGATCTACTGAACCATCTGGCATTCATAGATTACCAAAAGAAACACTGAGATCATCTCTGGAATTACAGAGATGTGGGCCAGGCCTGATTCCTGGAGAACTGTAACTATGTAAACCAGCAGCTCTGATGTGTTTAATTAACACAAAATGAATTTACCACCTCCTGGTACCATCTAATGAAAAAGGGTTGATATTGCCTCAATTGTTTTAAACAGAGATAAAAGGTTTAAATAAATAAATAAATAATAGAAAAGATAAGGACTGGGGTTTAGTGCAAATTCACTAGAGCTTTTAGGAGCCCAAATCTTACTGATCTCAGTGAGCTCCCAGCTCAGAATTTGGTATTTGTATTATTATTTAAAATTTGAGAGGAAAGAGAAAATGACCTTTGACAAAGAGTTCATCAATCTGTTTGGCAATCAAAAGAACGACCAAGGAAGATCAAAAAGTGATTTGATTACAGCACAAGTGTCTCAAAGAGGACAAGAGGGGAGCAAAAGAAAAGGTCCTCTGCGTAGCAAAGGGCTCTTTAATATACTAAAGAACACCACAACAAATATTGCCTAAAAGCTGCAGACAAATTCATGTAGGAAGGCATGAATTTTTAATAATGAGGCTGACGAATCACTCAAATCATCATTGAAGGAAGAAGGGGCTTTTTTTAGCTTCTTAAAAACAGTGACAATTTTCTCATCTGCCTCCATATCCTCATCAGTAGGTTTGATATAGCACTTCTTTCAGTATGCAAGAATATAAAAATATGCCTATTGAGAAAATAAAATTTTGTTAATATTTTATTTTATTTTCAAAGTGAAAGGTTTCTACTGAGAAAAAACCTAGTCAAAATTCATATTTGGGGATTTTTTTTAGTTTTACTGTAATCAGGTTGGGCTGTGTTGATTTTATGCACAATAGAAAAAATCAACGGCTGCAGATAATTTACTGCAGTGAAAAATCCAAAGAGGGCAAATATTTTTCTCAAGATAAAATTTTAAAATATTTAGTTTAGTAATTCTGGAAGGTAAGAAAGACAGTGTTTCTGAAAGCAAATGAAAAAAAAAAATCCTGAAATATTCAGGCTTCACAGCTACAAGTTCCTATGGGTTTCTTGAACAAATCACATGTCTCCTTAAAAAATGCAGACAGCATCATTACTTTCTCCGAATTAGCATAAAATACTTACATTGATATCAAAAAAAATGTTGGTTTTTTTTTTTGTTTGTTCAGTATGAGTATTTTGTCTTACAGTATTGTAAGAATTTAAGCCCGTGGTGAGATTTGATAATTCATTCATACTGCTTGGAAGGAAGAAATTTCTTCCATTTTCACCCCAACTCCTGTCTCAAGTCTGTTTCCTGATTGTTTCAGCAATCAGGAAATTTTTGGCAATTGTTTTTGGCAATTGTTTTTGGCAATTTCCAAACATATGAAATAGTCCTTTTCTGATTAGCTGAGCTGAAGAAAAAGAGAAACAGATCTGACTTCTGATTTGAACAAACTGCCTGTTATTTATTCAGTTCTCACCAACATTCACCTCAACCCATCACTACTCCTGCTGCTACCAGCTCAGCTGGGAAACCACATCATTGTAACATTTTCAGAATTGTATACTATTCAGTACACTGTTTGGAGGGTAGGCAGGAAGTAATCATTTAGCTACATTTTTGGTTACTTTCTGCTCCATGGCAAAACCCCAAGCAGAGAAAACCAAAAATCATAACACTAATGAAAATTTAATATATAGGATTAGATATTCCAGTGTGACAAACTATGAATATAATGTATCTAAAAAAATGGGCCTAATGTAATAAACTCCTGAGTCTACAGTCACTAAAGAATCACAGGTTCTTTGTATTACAGATGTGATTCAGAAGTCCAAAGAATCATCAATCCAGAAAAAGAAAAGCTATGTTGTGGTAATAAATTTTGGAAGGGCCACTAAGCCCTTTTAATAGATTTTACAACAAAGAGGGGACAAGTAGAAAAATGAAATGCAAATGCCTAATACTAGTAAAGCAGAAGGTATGAACTTTCATGCTCATAAGCAAATCAAATTTCTTTATTTAGTGAGTCTTCAGAAAAATGTCTACCAGTATAAAAAATTCATGCTTCACTGAATCACAATAACTGTAGCAGCTGCTAGTTTGTTGTGGTTTTTTGTTGTGGTTGTTTTGGGGTTTTATTTCCCAGAATTATAAAAGGATTGTGCAATTTTTAACTGCATCTAAATAAAATGTGTGGTATTCCCAAGTTTCTGGAAATATTTAAAACACTATTGAAGCTCATTTTACAACGAAATGCATTACCTTAAGTATTATTCAGTTACATGAAAATAATCTCCTTGCATCTGAGTTCAAGTACCACCTTATCAGTTCAGAAAATAATATTTTTCATTTATCATTCTTCTTGCAGTTGAAAAAGATTATATTACATTTCTTATCTACATAATTCAAGTACACAGACAATAATTAAAAATGTTTCATCCACAAGTCTAGCTCTTTCATCTAATGAGAAGAGTTAATATTTCAACCTTTCTACTACTTGTATAACTATTGCAAAACCAAATGCTAGTAATACAATGCCAAGTTGCCCTTCCCCAACCAAAGGCAAGTCCTTATTACTAGCAACCCAGTTAATCTTATTGCTCGACATCAAAACCCATCTCCACCCCATCCATTTTACCTAACACATAGCTTCCTAAAGATAAGATTCATTCCCTCTTCTATTGCTTATCTATATGTATTTTTTAAACTAGAATGGCACAAAAAAATTTGAATATGTCTTCTACAGGTAACTGTAGAAGAATATCTGATGCAGCAACTACTCCTGCAATAAAGATTGACATGTATATGCTATAGCTGCTAGCTGCTAGGCAGCTCTGTTGAAATAATTTGGGCTATAAATAGGCAGAAACAGATTATTGACAGGAGATATGGTCTTATGGCTCTTTCTATTTCATTCCCCAGCATTAATACACCCTTTGTGAAAGAGAGTGTGACTCTTGACTTCAACATTAATTGCCCCCTGCGAGAAGGAAAAAAGCTTTAGCTGTTAGAAACACAGAGTATTTCTGTGGATTCAGAAAGCATTTAACTGTTACCTATGGAAATATAATCTGCAACAGAAAGCCAAATATTCCACGCTGTCATTTAAACAAGATCCTACTGCCCCCCACATTCCTAAAGAAAAACTTGTATATTTCAAGAAATTGCTAGAAATTCCCAGTAGCAGACCGAGTCTATAACTTGATTTCAAAGAATCTTGAAAGCCATTCAACAGGTGGTTCTGGAATATTTTTACCTTGTCACTTGCACGCGAATAGAAGAACACTCCCTTCAATGTAGCAAATGTGTGCAAGGTTTAGAAACCTGTTCTCAGTTGGTCAGGGCTTTCGTAAGACTGGGAAAACTTAGTTTTAATGGCCAGAAGACCAGTTCTCTCTTGGATGACAGCTATTGAGTACAGACCACTAGGGTCATCCTTCTTTTCCTCATAAAAGTCCTACAACACAGTAACAAATCTTGATTCTTGGGAAGTCTCTAATCTGCAGAAGTCACATCGACAGCTCAGCTTAAGATACTCCTTGACCCCTTCAACACACACACATATCGAGAACATGTATGAAGATAAGATATGAAAAAGAATGTAAAGACAAAGACACATAATTTATCTTAATTTTATTGAAAAGCTGTAATTATACTTTGCCTGAAATAGACTTTTCATTGTGATTTATTATTAAACTCAATTTTAGCTCTATTTTCAGAAGTAAAGAAGAGGTATTATGTTTAATTTTATTCTCAAGTGAGCATGCAATATGTGAAAATATAAGTACATATTCATATTATATATATATATATATTTATATATATATGTAATAGGGAATGCAAATACTGCACAGTAAGATTCTCCTGTTAAGAGCTGAAAGTGCTATATACATAAGAGAATCAATAGTAATGTCTTTAGTGTAACACAGAGTTATATCAGTACAAAAAACTGAAGAAGCCATGTAAATTGGTGTTTTTGCCAGCATAGTCAGATATCATCTGTGGAAGCACTTTTAAAATTAAAACAGGAATTATAGTACATTGCATAAGGACTTGTACAGAAGCTTATGTCAGCTTCTTTTTTCATTTCAATTAGGTGGTAATATAAACAATTTTAATACTTCAAGTGCATTTTCCAAGCTCACAGAATAAAACAAAAGAACTTGGGCTGCTCAGAAAAAGAATATCATCATTAGAATGTAAAGCCAGGGAAAAAGATTAATGTTTATTAAATATTTTCAGGAGATCATACAAGACCTAAATCTCTTTTGAACACATGGGCAATAAAGAAAAATATCAATGGCCAGATATTTTTGCATATCTTTCCAAGTCCTTTTAGGACTTCACAGATTCTACACTGTATTTATAAATTAAGTATAAGCTTAGGACTTACCTGCAGATGCATAATCATTGGGAAGTTCAGGATAAAGTTTGTTTGTATTCTTTTTAGCTGAAAGAGAAAATACAGTAGTGACTTATATGACAGGCTAACATATATCGTTGTATTTTGTATACTGCTCTCTGATACAAGTTCAGTAGTTATTAAATGATTGCAGTCAACCAAGAACCAGTGCAGAAGAAAGAAATATAGACTTTGCCTCACATCCTTAACCAGAGAATTAAGTTAACAAGAGGAGCTGCACAGTAAAGCCTCACTTTGAATGAAAGCACTCTGTTAAAATGAACTGTTAAAGAGCCAAAATTCTGCCTCTTCTGCTCTATTGTAAAATCTCTAATGATTAAAAAATAATGACAACCTAAAGAGAAACTATGATTTCTAGAAACTAAAACTTGGTTTTCTAGAAATTTCTAGAACTTGGACCAGGAGTTTCTAGCACTGTTATTTTTACTAAGAAGTTTCATTGTACTGTGAGGCTTCTATGTATCCATTACCTATGAATATTTCCTTTGAGTTATTACATGATTCTGTAACTATAAAAACACTGTTTCTATAGCAAATCTGTCAGAGAGAAAAGGCTTGTTAATATTAAAAAAAAAAAACCAAAAAACAAATCCTTTAGTCTTTATCAGTCATGGCACTGCATCAACATACTTTTAATGTTTGTCCAAGGAAGAGTATTTAAAAAATGTTTTTATAGAGGCAGCTGCTATAATAACTGCATAGTATTAATTAGCTTTAATGCTCTAATTATATGAAGAGAATTAATTAGCCATTATCAAAAATTTTCACCTGGTGGTGTAGGTCTAACAGTGGGTTTAGGTGGCTCTGGTCTGGTTGACGGTCTAGCAGGCCGGTCACTTACCTAAAGTACAGAAATTTTTTAAAAACATAGCATCATATCTGGACATAGATTGTGACTTTAGAGCCTAGAAGTATGTCAAATTACATTGAAAAAAAATTACTCTTTCTCCACTGCAGTTACAGGAATTCAAAAAGCCTACTAAACACTAGTGACATACACATGACACTGATGTAAATCACCATGGGTGTAACAAAGCTGTAAGTAAATGCTTGTCTATCAGTAACATCGGGATCTGTAAGAATATATCTCCTACAGTCCCAGTACTACATTATAAATGTGATTGTTTGAATGAAAGACAGAAAAAGTAGGAAACTAAGAGTATCCAATTTGCAATTAACTTGATTAAAAACACTTGACCAAATATTCCTAATCATCACCTCAAGTTAGATAATGCACAATTACAAAACAAGGATATACTTTGTTATTCTGGAAGATGCAAAGCAAACCCAGCAATATTCTTGCCCTCAAGAGCCTAGCAGGGAAATACTTGAACAAATGTTCCACACACATAAACTGACAAGTGCTATGCCTTCAGTCATCCAACAGAGAAGTTAAAAATGACATATGAACATCAGTATTGACACTGGCTAGGAACAGCTTAGGAACAGGGAAAGCCTATGTGAAAAACAAGTGCACAAACCCTTCTTTGTTCCCTTACAGATTTTCCTGGATTATTTTTTTGCTCTTCATTTTCATACACTTCAGTGAAGGATGCTAGAGTTTCATAAAGATCATCTGCTTGAGCAGGGAAAGGCACATCACCAAGCAGGATAGCACTAGCACGAATGTCCTGCCCATAAAACCTGATAGAAAAAAAAATATTGCAGGTATTTGATTATTATTATATTTCAATTTGTAGATAAATTAATTTTGCATAAATGCTCCCTATCGCCATCCCTAACCCTTCATTTTTTCCTACTGATCATAATCTGAGAAATGACAGAACTATTTCAAAGGTGCAAATTTGGAAAACTGACCACAGCCCCCAATTTCCTGCACCCCTTGGGAGGAGAAGGTAGAGAAGCTGTGATTGAAGTGGAGCCCAGTAAGATGGAAGCTGTGGAGGGGAAAAGTGTTGCTTTCTAGATTTGTTCTTATTTCTCATTATCCTATTATCTTATTTACTGAAAATAAATTAAAATAATTTCCCCTTGATGAGGTTGGAGGTTTTTTTACTAAAATAGCAATTGGTAAGGGATCTCACTGCCTTTATCTCAACTTATGAGTTTATCATCATACTTTTTCTCCTCTCATTCTGTTGAGGAGGGAGAATGACAAAGCAACTGGGCTGGCATCTGGTGGCTAGCTAAGGTCAACCTGCCACAGACAAATAATCCCTAAACATTTAGCATCATCTCAATACCCATTGCAAGACGTCTAAATTGAAGAAAACCTTGTCCCTCAAGAAATTCTAAACTGAACATAGCATGTTTTCACAAAAACCACTTTTTCCAAAGTGAATGTTTCCTAGTTAATTCTGTCACTACTTTCACTGAACCTGTTAGATATTAAGAGAGCTTACTTGCGATTTGTTTCTTTCCTTTCAATCAAACAGGTTCCTTCCAGAGATACACCTGCGAACAGCCCTCGAGATTTGCAGTATGTATAGACAGCAGCAGAGCTTCTCAGGGCAACATCTCCTTCTAAGTTTCTGGAAGGAAAAGGTTTTGGTTGATATTCTTCAATACAGTTTTTTAGCATGAAGAGCAATTGTCTTTTTCTTTTATTCCTTCATTTTATTTTTACCTATTTTCAGACAGAAGCACAGAAAAATGTTGCCTCATATGAATGCTCCCCATTAGGTTTCTGAGAGACTGGACTGTTCATGGCTTATGACTCAAAACAACCAAGGAGGCTCCAGGGTGATTTGCTGAGGCCAGGTTTACATCCTTTGAGGAGAGGCAAGTTTGGGTGTGCAGTGAGATTCACATAAGACAGGGGGAGGCTGCAAGCCAGGCTGATAAGGCAAATTCTGCAAGGTGGGATGGCACCTTTTATCACAGTAATTGTTCTCCCTTACACAACTCCCTTACAAACCCTTCCCCCAGGGAAGGTCTAATGGGACAAAACTGGCTCAAGCACTGACAAGAGAGGCAGCTGTCATGTTTGAGAAGGGATCATAAACCATCAAAGATCCTAAAGGCACCCTCAGACTTTTTCCTGAGTCTTTACACCAAAGGACTGAATGTGACGCAAAGGGATGCAACAGATCAGACCCTATGGCAAGCGAAATTGTCAAGCTTCCCAACCAGGGGAGGTCCCCAGGTGTTCCCAACTGGCCTGAACATATCCATTGAACTCTAAGCTTTGTGGAATCCTCACCACCGAAAAGACCAGAAGAAGAGGATCAACAGGACACTGTAGGAATCCAGAAAGAAGTGATATTTTCTACACAATCTTTCTGTCACTTTTTCTCTCCCCTCTTCTTTTTTTTTTTTTTGCTTTTCTCTCCTTCCCCCGCTCACATTTACTGTTAAATAAAATCCATACTATTGACTTCAGCACATGGTCTCACTTAAGTCTTATTTGGGCAGAGGCATCTCTGTAATAATTTTAATAACTGGATCTTAACAGCCTCCTCTGAAAACTATTAAGCCACACTTTAATCACATTTTAAAATGATCGGATTACGTTTGGACTGGTGACTGAAACTCTATTCAATATTTCCAAATCCTTCTAGGCTTTCTGGTCAGCACAAACACTTCAAGGCCTTACTGAACCTCAATAGATTTGGAAGATTACAGTATTTGTCCTTCACAAGACTGCATAATATTTTAGGTTTAAAGACAGTCATCTCAAAATGGATACAACATCAAACTGAAAGAAGGTTGCTCTGGACTTTGTCCAGCCAGTTTTTGAAGAATTCTAAGGATGTAATTCCACAGGCACTCTGAGCAACCTGTATCAGCACTCAGTTTTATTTGTGTCAAATTTCTTTTTCTCATATCCAGTCAGAACCTTCCTTGTTTTGATATGTGATTACTACCTCTCATTTTCTTCCCAGGCAACCCTATAAAGAACTGGGGTCTGTCTTCTTGGTGATGTCCTGTTGGGAATGCAGCTTCAGAAGGTCTTCTCTCATCCAAATTCAATAAGCTGAGCTCCCCCAGCCTCATCATTCACATGTTGCATTTACCTGGCCATTTAGGTAGTGGTTTACTACACACACTCAGGTTTGTAAACAACTTTCTGCAGGGCTAAAACTCAACACAATATTTTAGGCACAGTCTACAAAATGTCAAGTGAAGGGGAACAGTCACTTCCCATATGTACTGGTTACAGTCCTGTTGATGCAACCCCCTACACAGTTCACTGCCTTTTCTGTCAGGAATCAACCGCTGGCTTAGCCCCACTGCCCACCAGGATCCAGCACCTTCTCTGCAGGGAAGCTGCTCAGCCTGACAGGGTGTTCATCCAACTAGGAGCACAGAACTTTGCACTTGTCCTTGTTTAATTTCATGGGGTTTCATGTCGGATTTTCACATTCTCTAGGTCCATTGCTTTGAATGGTGGCCCTACCCTGAAGTGCCTTGTCTGCAAATCCTGCTTTAGAGTCATCCACAAACTTAAAGAGGATATTTTGCAACTGCTCCTCTAGGTCACAGATAAAAATACCAAGCAGGAGAGGTCCTGGAAGAGTCTCCTGAGAAATTCTAAAGAAATCTGGCTTTAGACTTCAACATAAACCATTTAGTACTGCTCTTCTAATGTCATGATCCAGTTCTTAATCTGTTTGCTCATCTTCTCACCCTGACACCTATGTCCCATCTTGGACATGTTGCAGGACAGCACACTGAATGCCTTTGTAGGGCAGATGATAGTTCATTGCCCTTCCCTGATCAACAGATCTCTCGTTCTCTCTTCTGTGCAATAAGTATCATCCTTTCATTTTTTTAGAAAATATTAAAAACCAGCAGTAAAAAGAGTAGGCATAGGAAGGCACATATTCCATAAGCAGGCTCTGAGGTAGCTGGGCTTGGTAAGCCTGGAGAAGACTTGGGGCAAACCTAACAGCAGGCTTCAAATACCTAGGGAGAGGTAATCAAGAGTATGAAGCCAGACTCTTTATAGCACCATACGGAGGAAGAACAAAATACTATTGACATAAATAGAATGAAGAAATACTTTGACTAGATGTTAAGGCAGGAGAGTTGAACAGTAGAGCAGGCTGCCCAGAGAACCAAGCAGTCTCCTTCATCGGGGATTTTCAAGATACAAAAAAGGAAAAAAAAGACTGAGCAACCTGATCTGAAGTAACAGACCTTGGTTTGAGCAGGAGGTTGAAATAGCAATCTTGCAAGGCTCATTTTCAAGTAAAATTATTCAGTGATTATTTCACCTTATTCTTCAAAGTAAACAGCTTAACCACTTAAAGGTTTTAATAAATTATTTGGTGTAATTTTTATTTACTGTTGGGCAGATCTGTGGTGACAGAAAGCCCAGACCCATATGTTACTAAAAATCATAGTTCCATCAGGCATAGAAGCATCTGTGCTTCTATGAGCCTAGCCAAACAGTCTCCTGCAAAAGAGAGCCAATCTCGAACACTTTCCTTCTACCAATAAATGACTTTATCCGGAACAAAGAAAACAAGAAAAAAAAAAAGTGATTGGCAAGAACAATATGGTCCAGTCAGCATACAGATTGCCCAGATTGTGCTGTTAACATATTAAAAAATACCACATCAATGTAGCTTTAAAAAATTATCTTCCATAGATGCCTTATTAGGAAAATATATTACTTACCTTCCCAGAGGTCCAATTGCCACAGTAAGATTTCCTCCAAGTGTAAGATTTCCTCCTTTGGCAAAAGCTTCTACTGCTCTTTCATGATTCAGTATTATCACTAAGTCTGAGACCTATAAAATATCAAATAAAAGTACTACACTTTTTAAGAAGAAAGAAGAGCACAGGAGATGATCTTCCTTTCTTGTAAAGGATTATTTTGAAACAGATTTCATGAAAAAAGTTGATTCTTTTTCTGCAAGGTATTTTGAATGAAAAATCCTTTGAACTACTTTTTAAATCAAATTTGACTGATTTTTTTCAAAGTGCTGATATCATCAGTATGTATTAAACAAAAGCTGTAAGAGAAACTCTATGTTAATTCAAAATTCCTAATTGACAATTTCTTATTTTCCATAGCATATACAATTATGAAGGCACATTTTCAGATGTGAATCATTTTGATCTTTCAATAATGAAACTAATAAAGGCAAGACAGAACTTAGTAAACAAAAATTCCTGTCCAAAGAACAAAAACCAAAAAGGATACAGGTGCTATTGATAAAACTTTATTTTCATGACAGGAGTTTTATATATCTGTGTGTGTGTGTGTATGAATTATTAATTAACTTTTTATGACTTGAATATGAGATGTAGTCAGTTGCTTCAATAATCTATTAACCTATTAATTGAAGAGGTAGCAATATACCCAAGGACTACTGCACCTGATCTTTCATCTGATGGACTTGACTGAAAGCCAGGTTCAGAAAAAAACTTTCAACTTACCCCAAATTCCAAACAGCGACAGCAAGGAATACAAGAGGAAATACCAGATTATTTGTAAAACAAGGCTGGCCTAGAAGTATTACACACAGCATAAGAGAGGTCTTTGTTATTAGCCCCCCTGGTAACCTCCACCCCATCCCAAACAGAAGATGGCTACAGGAGCAGTTTGTGAATCAAACAGGGATGGAGGGAGAACATCTGTCAGGATACTGCTTCCTCCTCTTACCCATCAAGAGGATGAACCCATAGTTAAAGATAAACTAATCCATAGTGAGAAAGCCTTCAAGGAAAGCATTTATATAAATTTTAAAACTGGTTCCTCATTTCAAGTACCAAGTCACTGTGACTTCTGAGTGTGATCTCTGTCTTGTTTTTTAAAAACATCCATAAGTATCACTACAACTATGTCAACTATAATCTCTCCTACAGGAATAAATTTCACCTAGTTTCTAAAACATCTAAGTTTATATAGGACTAGAAGAATGCTGAAATGGGACTGTAGGCTCCTAAGTCACTCAGGTACTTTGAGTAACATACATTATCTAGAAGAAATAAAAGAGATTGTGTTACAAAAACATCAGTAAGGAAACAGCATTTTGTAAGGTGACTAAAATTTCAAATGACAGGCACAGTATTACTCAGAGAAAAGCCCCTCTCTCAAATAGCTTCTGTATTGAAATTATTTAATTCAGTATCAATAGGAAATGTCTACATTATCTAAAATATCAGGTGGGAATGATTAAAAGAAAATTTTCATAGATTAATCAAAACAGATGAAGAGGCTTAAAAGGAAAGAAAAAAAAAAAAAACCAAACCCCCCAACAAAACAAACCCTGAGGCTCAAACTGAACACTTTATAATGCATTCAGATTCTGTAGTCATGAAAACCAATGAAAATCCCTTATAAAAATTAATTATTTTGTATTCACATCATCCTTTAAAAAGGGCATGCAATAATGCCTGAGATCACACAGTGAAGAATGAGGAGAGAATAAAATATTGATCTATTGCTCAGTATGTGAGTGCTGGCTGACTGGCTGCCAGGACAGGGATAGCTGTAGATGTAGTGGGGGCTGGCATGGATCACCCAGATCAGCTATACATGATTCTCCTGATGAGCAGAATGCCCATTGCAAGAGATCTTGTTGGCAGCATATTGCTACTATGATTTTCTCTGGGAATCAGCAGAACAGAAGCTAAACAAAGAGAAGGATGAGTCTTGAGGTTAGTGTGGGGAAGCAGAGAAAAGATGAAAACATACAAGTGTGCAGGAATTGTGAGGAAGAAGAAATGGGAAGCAGAGGCAGAGCGCTATTAGGGTTCAGCTCACCAGGGTTTCTCTGAATGTGCTGGGACTCCTTTACTTAAGCATTTCTGCTGGCTGGAACTGGCTCCTTTTTTGTAGTACTCCTTCAGGAGAGGCATCAACAGTTTTGGTGCTTTCAAACTGAAGGGTCATGTCAGTAACCACAAGTGTGAGTGGGAAATGTGTGAAATACACTAAGTGGAGTCCATTTTACTCCAGTTCTTTACACTGCTTCTTGCCAGATGGAGTCCCTGTGCCCTTTAGCAAAGTATTTGACACACTATTATGTATAGGATGCTTTTTCAATTAACTTCAATTGTCTTACATAGGAACACTGACAGGAAGCTCTCCATAAGTGAAAAATTCAGTCTGCTAGAAGTGAGAAATCAAGGAAACTAGTGTCATGGCACTTTTTTCAATCTAAATGTCTTATAACAATTTGACTGATGGGATCAAAACCCCTCTTTTGTTTGTCTTGCATAAGCAGATTTCATAATACTATTTTTGTACATAAAAGTAGATTCTACTATCTCACCAAAATTTAGATCTTTGTAAATGTATTTTAATTTCTTGCAAAAAAAGTTACCAACAAGAATTGCAAATGCAAAACCATACCTCAATTCCAATTTCAAATCCACCACCAAGACCAGCAATTCCTATTGCAGAGGGAGCAGACCAGGCTGTTGTGTAAAACAAGATAAATTTATGGCATTTTAACCATATATTACAAGAAATACTTACTTCATTATAATAGTTACAAATTTTAACAAATTCTCTATTTAAAACTATGTTCAAAACAACTACAATAGAATCATAACTATAATGCTTTACTCTACAGGAAAGGATTTAAGAAATACAAACCCTCACAGCCTAAACAATTCCTTGTTAAAAAATATTTATCATATACTTCTTCATAATCAGATATAAATTTTTCTAATGAATTTTATACTATGTACTTTTATATTTCATTATTTTCCACAAGATACTGAAAGATTTACATTTGGTCAAAGAAAGGTACAAAGATTTGAAAACAGCTTTCACACCAAACACTGTCACCTGTCACCTACTTGCGTGACTCATCACACATCTCCTGTTTTATGCTGTAAAAAAGAATAATGAAAAAATATGTTTTGTCTCTTTTAATTAACTTCTCATGAAGTACAAAAGGAAAATATCCACTTACTTCCATTAGGAAGACGAGCTAATACAATTCCACTTCCCCCTCGAGCAGTCACCAAAAATCCAGCTTTGATAACAGACAAAACTGCAAGGCCTTTGGCTTTAGCTATTACATGAGCTGCAAACAGCAAAACCATTTATTCAAGACCTTGTAAGAGAAGTTCTAAGAGAAGGGGGAAACAAAACTCAATATTTAACAAATATGAACACAGGCATCAATTAATCAAAGCAAAAGATTAAAGAAAACTGCAAAAAAAGTTGAACTAATAATGACACCTCTACCACAGAGAACTGCAAACCCAGCTGCAGGTCACATTAGCCTGTGACAATCTATACACTGCCACAACTGCTCCACCTGTCCTGATTAACTTGTATAGAATTTGTTTAGTGCCACACATTTTTTGTGTGAGTACCCTTGGCAAGATAAACAGAAAACAGGCAGTAATAGCTGACAACCATGTCTCCACAAATTTTTGGAGGAGTCCAAATTTAAATCGCAGCAACATAGAGCAGCCTAACAAGCTTGCATCATTAGACAGTCTTAGTGGCAAATACTGATGTGTCATCATCCTGCAAATCTTATTGCAGACCTTCCAGACCATAACAGTTAAGGATTCAAAAATGCAACCAGCAAAAACAGGTGGAGGAAGATACTCAGAGAAACACAGAGTAACACCTGCAAAAATAAAGAGGACAGCAGCAAATAAGAGTGCTGAACCAGTATCAAAAGGAAAATCACCCTGATTTCTTTGCTTCAACTTATTTCCATCTAGCTAATTCTAATCAACAGAGATATTCAAGAGCTCAAGCTACTAGTCCAGGTTCTCTCTTAAGAACATACAGTTACAGGGTTTAGCATGAGACAGTCTGTCCATCCAGGGGGAAGCCTTCCAGTGCAGGTATCTTGTAGCAGTAATCATTCAAAAGATCTCTCCCAGTAAGTAACAGCTGCCAAGATTACAGCAAACTAAATTACTTCCAAAATACTTTCAAAGAAGTTATGGCGCCCGAAATTTTCATTCATCCATCTAAGTTGTGGTCAGTGAAAACAGGGAATTGGTGAAGACATCATGACTGCAACACAGGGAGTGCTGAAGGTTTTAGCTGAATCAAAGCATTCTCTTTACTCACGTGGTATGATTTTATCTGGTCCATTTCTGGAAGTTATTTCTGTAAATTCTCGTAGTATTTTAGCAGCCTTTTTAGCTTCTGACTTCAGGTTGGAAGGTATAGGGTTGTTCACTGTAAAACATGAAAGAAATAAATTATGGTCAGTTTAGGATATCTCATATGAAAAAAACAGTATCATTTGTATGGGAAAAGTGATTCTTTACAGAGAGTAAGTCAAACAAACACAGAAAAAGCAAATATAATGAAGTCATCTGCATCAGATCCACATTTTGTTTCTGACAATTTTAACTGAAGACACCACTTAATAAAACACACAAGCCTGATTCTTTTATGCAATCTCTTTCTCTTGCACATGTTCAGAATCCACACTGGTAACAATAAGGGTGTTTGAGACACATCCTTAGTTGTTCCTGTCACTATTTATTTATAGGTTTATTGCACACAAATTTGTCTAATGCCTCTTCAAAACTGCTGATACTCTGTCATTGGAATTCCTGCAGCAGAAGTTTACCTTCTACTTGAAGAAATAGGTGCTCTATTTTAAATTAATCTGCTAGTTACAGTGAGTGCCTGCTAGCTCAAGTATTACAAGTTCTGGTGAATACCTAATGCATTCAACTTACCTACCACCTTCATCCTTTTACATATAGTCAAAGGCCTCCGACTTCTCCACTCTTTCAGGAGTCTCAGCCAAGTTCTTAGTCTATCCTCAGGGTAGCTGCTCCATCCCTGACAGCTCTAACTGCAGTTCTCTATACCACCATCAACTCTGCTGTCCTTCAAACAGCGGAACTAACAGGCCACTGCTGAGCCCTAAAAGTTTCATGCCTCTTCAGGATGCTTCTCTTACAAAGCTAAACATGTGGCATGTTCTGAAAGTGAACAAAATTCAGTTTCAGACCAAGAAATTTTCTTTAGAGATCTGCTTCCTGTTGAAAGTCTTACCAGTATATTCTTTCCAATGTGATCTAATATAAACCATTCATGTATTTCAATTGAGGAAAAAGCAGAGATTAGTGATAAATTATGTTTTACTTTATAAAGCTACAGAGTACAGTAGCAAATACACAAAATCTTGAAACCTACCCTCTAAACTGACAAGATTATAAAGTCCACAGAAGCGTGTTGATTCACCATTTTGATCCACCATATCTGTTGTCACTAGTCGACGACTAAACAGAATCAAGTATTATAAATTATCAGTATTCTGCAACATTAGAAATACCATTTTATGTATGAATAGTAATGTTTCACCTGTAGATTTGCAAAAAGAAGCCTTAGTGCAGTTAAAGACATCGGAGTTAGTCTTTATTATTACATCTACTAAAATCCCTCAGAGTTACCTAAATTATTCTTGTTTTCCTGTCTGGACATAACAACACTCACTATTTCCAAGTTTATCAGAACCAAACTGTCCAAACCAACTAACACATAAATATATTGACAGACTAAAGATGCATCTAGTCTCACATCACATCTCTGAAAAAATTAGCGACACCATTTCCATAAAATTCTACTGTTCCTAAATTCACAAATGTATTAGAAAGACTGTGCTTTGAGAAACAACATTCAGTCAAAAAGTGGACTATTATTTTAATTGGCATTCCCTGAACATTCATTCACCTCTTCACTCTGGGCAACATTGCCGCCCAAAGCCAAGAAGGTGAGGACTAAATACATTTTGAGGTTACATCAATGAAGCTTAGAGAGCAATTCAGCTCAGACCAAGGGAAGCGCATAGCAGCAAGTCAGCCAGGTTTCTGTCCAGGCTCCCTTGGCTAGAACATGATATGCCTCCATTTTTCAAAGAGAAGAATATTCCTCTGGTATGTTCTCCAGGCAAGAAGGAAGATTCCAAAAACAGGAGAAATTTTGAAAGGTGAATATCTGGATTAGTGTCCTCTGAGGCAGCTTGAAGCAACATTTTGCTTTGGTGAAGATGCAGTAAGTACAACCTTGTTGGAGAGTTTGAAGTGACATCAGCCACTAGAAGGCTGTGCAGAAATATCAGACTCTCTGGGAACAAAAGGAAATACAACAAAAGGAATGCAACAGACTCTAAACCACACTGCAGTTATCAGAGTAGAAATATTAATTCTAGCTCCTAATAATCCCTTCTCTTTTCAGAAATTAAGATGATAGTCAAGACCCTGAGTGTGAAAGGATAGGAGAAGGTGAAGCTCTAAGAGCTCAGGATATTCTGAAAAGTTCCTGGCATGTGAATTTTCTCTGACTATTACAGTACTAAAATTGTCAAACTGCTTGCAGGAGTTTTGAACGTGCCTTTCTTCTGTGGCTGGAAGGCTTCCCCAAGCTGGAACATGGCCACATGGCAAGAGGAGAGGCCAGAGTAGCTCAAATAAAACACAAACTCACAATTGCTTTTGCTAAATTAACAAACTGGGGTGGAGCAAATGTCTCCATTACTTCTGTTGTTTGTACTTCACACTATGTTTTCAAGGTCAGAGGGCAAACATGACCAGCATGTTGTAAGAGAAAAATAAGATTTATGTTTTTGTATGGAGATAAATTGAAGGCAGTCCCAAAAAGCATATTGCAACACCATTCTGCTCAAAAAGGCACAAAGAATAAACCTAGCATATTGTAATTTGTAACTAATAATTAACATTGTAATACACAGTGCATGTCCATTTGCAAAATCAGGTGAACACTTCTATATGTAGGTTTTCACTTAAGATACTTTGCAAGTCTAGAGGTCTTAAGTTTGGGAAGGGTCACGTATGCAGTCTACCCAAAACACACATTTCATGGTACTTAATTTTTCACATGGTTTAGTAAGATTAGACTGTGGTAAAATGGACAATTATGTGCCTGATCATGCAGGACTTCTAGCAAAGTGATCAAGGCAATGAAAATAAGACCTGTACACTGGAGATAAAAAACACTGGTGAGATGAAAACACTGGGGAGTTAAAAAACACAACTAATCAAAAGCAAGCATTATCCAGCTTCTAGATTAGAGAAATAAGATAAACTTCTGTTCTCTTCTTGTTTACCCATGCATTCCTTCTCCCCCTTTGCTTCTCTTTGGCTAATCTCAGAATTTGGAAAAACATCTCCAATTATTCTTCCTGAAGTAAAAAAAAAACAACAAAAAAAAAACCCCACAAACAGAAAAAACCCCAAAAAACCCCACCAAAAAAACCAACCAACCAAACAAAAAAACCCCAAGCAGCTCATATTTCATACAGATTAGAAGAGAAATCCCTTAGCTAAATCCATTGAGAAAATGAGGTGTTTTCTTACCTGAAAGTCTGCAAATAGGAATAACAGAGTGGGGGAAAAAAATAAAATCACAATAGAGTTCTTGTAAGCATTTTCAGACTTTAGATTCAGAATTGCTTCAGAAAGACTTGATGGTTGCAAGCAAACACTGTGTACATACCACTGTGCACATAGGAGCTACCATTTAATTGAAGATTATTCAAAGCTGAACTTCAGGAGTCAGCAAAAGTAATACTGTTACTACCTCACTGTTCCTTCCCCTCTCAATACATAACTGTTTGCTCAGAGCAACCTGCTCTAGTCCAAGGTGTTCCCACATACTGCAGAAGGAGTTGGATTAGATGTCCTTCTTCCTTTCAGCCCAAACCATTCTATGATTTTTCTGCACTATGATTCCAAAGACTGTATTTTAAAATACAAATTTTCCACAGAAAATAGCATTAGTTAAGCAAATTAAAATGTAGGTATTTCCACTCCAACCTTTCTAAAAGGTTTTTTTTCCCCCTTTTTGTGTGTGGAATTTTTTTTAAATTTTTTTTTGGTCGTTTTTGGGGGGTTTTGTTTGTTTGTTTCTTTAGTTTTTTGGGTGTTTTTTTTTTTTTTTTTTTTTTGTGCCACATAGTTTGGGGGTACCTTTATCATCAGGGAATGGAGAAACTGGAGAGACATTCATCTAGCTGTACTCTACAACAACAAGCACAGGAAAGCTTAACTTATTATCCTCAAACTAACATCAGAAACCTCACTTTCTCCCTGTATCACTTGTTTCCTGAATCATTATTTTTTTTCCCCGTTCCTTGGGTAGCTGTTTCTTCTGCATTCTTTAGGTAGTTACAGGAATTCACTCCTCCATTATCCTTTGCTTCTTCCCTTCCTGCCACAGACTAAAGTAATGCAGGATTATTTTTCTGGACTAAGACACAGCAGGTGGATTTGACAACAGCATTCCGCCAGTTACTTTGCATGTGGCTAGACTTGTGCCCTTTCAGAAGCTGAGAAATGGATGATATTTCTAAAGCACAATAGAAGGACAGAGAGGGGAAAAAAGGGAAGGAAAAAAAAGAGGTTGAACATGCTACGAACTGAAGAGCTCAAAGCTACACCTTGTAGATAAGGGCTGCAAGTAAGATTTTAATTGACAGTAGCAAGTATGAAAATTAAAGTGACATTAATTGGCAAGCAAAAATGGCAGAGAGGTTTTAACAATGGGCAGGATGAATAGGCCACCTGATTAAACACTTTCATGGTGCAAACCAACACAGTTACTCAAAGTGGTAACCATATGATTCTTTCTCCAGTGGCTCACGTTGAGTTCCTTTACTTACTTCCATAACATTGTCTAGATACTAAGGAACTGGCAGGATGCCTACAGGAGCCTTGAGGAACAGAAGATCTGTTAAAAAAAAAAAAAACCCAACAAAAAACAAACAAATCCCCACCCTGACCTCAATTACGTACAATATGATGCCTGATAAGCCCTGGCTGGACTCCCATTTTGGTGAAAGCTAGAACCACAGCAGAAGAAATACAGTATTTTTATCACTGAGGAAAGGGGGAAGCTTGGCTCTCCCTCTTGGGCTATGCCACACTCAGGATTTTGTCAATAAGAGTTTAGGATTATATAAGGACAGAGTCAACAATCAACACTAAAAAGGCAAAGTTTAATGGTTTTATATATAGTGTATATATAATATGGCTGAGGCCTGACTCTTACCACTTGATTTTAGATCAATCAATTTCATAAAACTTTGTCCAAAGGCAAAGAAAAGGCAAAGAAAATTATTGGTTTTTAAGTAAAAAAACACCCTAGTAAATAGAAAATAGCACAAATATGTCAGACAATTCAAAACTATTCACTTTTAAAAA